GGGAACACGGAATCACTTGCGCCTGACGCCTATGGCCTCGAAGATTTCACACCTTGGAGTCCACAAACCCCAAGAAGGAAGTGTTCCAGTGTACCCACAACAATAAACCATTTGTGACCGAGAGTTGCCCGGTCACAAATTGGTAACAACAACATATGGCTGAAGCAGCCCCTTCCTTAAGGCAGGGGTTCCCAAAGTGGGGGTCGCAACCCCCCGGGGGGTCGCGAGGCCACGAGTGGGGGTCGCGAGATGATTAAAAAAAAAAAAATTATAAAAAGAAATTGATTAATTGTTTTTATAATTTTACGTTTGCATAGATATTTTTGTCTTTGACAATACACTAGCGCAGTGTTTCTCAAACTTTTTTTTTTTTTTTTTCTGAAATTAATTCACTAGCACCCCCCCCTCCCCCGGGTCGCCAGTCTCTGGCACTGTTATTTTGGGGGTCGCGGGCTGAAAAGTTTGGGAACCCCTGCCTTAAGGGAGATAACAGACGTCAGGGTTGGTCCTAAACGTCAAAGGGCAAAAGGTGGATATCTAGGAGAATTATTCCCTAACACTGAGGAAAATAATATTTGCAGTTAGCTTTAGGGGATGTACACATACCGCCTTTTAGTAGTTCAACTTTTCTACTCCAACATTTACTTTATTCTGCGCAGAGACAGAACACACATCTCCACAACATTATGAACTTTGAAACGTCTCTCGTAGGCTACACGGTCATATAGTTAACTAATGCAACAGCGTCAGTATTACAGAAAAGTTGGAAATCAGCTTTGATCCGCCCTGATGATCGGACGTTTACTTACTCTTCTGTTGTGCTGATTCTGGCTGGAGAGAGTTTATTTACAGCGGTTGCATGAATTTCAAAACAAACCACAACCATACGCTAGCACTACAGACAGCGCTCCGGTTCTGCAGGCTTGAATTTCTCAGTAATCATTTCAATAAAATATGCTGTATAGGTATATGCCTTGATGATGTAATTCTTTATAAAGCCTACATAAGTAGTAAATATAATAAAAAACTGTTATTTTCCCATTTGTCCGGTAAAGTGGCCTGCGAACAAACGCTTGTCTTCAGTTCAGTTAAAAGCCCTGTTTGAACACACACACGCACACCATATACATGTGGGCACCAAGAAATGGTAAAGTATATATATTTTTTGTATGTTGATCTCCAGGTTACTTGCTGGATCCTAACGGAGAGAAGTGTGTGACAGCCCCCCGGCAGGTATCAGCTCTGCATCACAAGGATGTCACCATAGCGATGGCAGCAGCCAGTGATGGAGCAACAGTAGTTGTGACTGAGAAGGGCGATGTCTACCTGTTGGCTGACTACCAGTGCAAGAAAATGGCTTCCAGGTATTCATTAAACAACCCTTTATTACACTGAGACTCAAGTCGCCTTGAAGATTGCATTTGCTTTAAAGGTTTTTAAATATTTTACAAATTGAATCCAAGCAAAAGATGGTAAAAACTGATCCAAATTAAACAAAATAAACATACTTCATTGATGTTCAGTATTTATTCCTTACTTACAAAATAGTGCATATTATGTTTCCCTTGTTGTCAGCTCTCTTTATGTTTCCATGCTCAAAGATCTGTTTGATATGTGCAGCCTTTGCAAGCCACCAGAGGAACTGTCCTTTTCTGTTTCCTGGGGAAAACACTCGGCTGTTGTTATGCCTGCTGTGACGTTACATTACTCTGTTCTCCGCTTGTAATTATGCCGTCACAAGCTTCAAAGTTGTATTTATCATCTGAATTTGCCGAAACAAGTTTAATATTCTGAAAGCCAAGACTTTGTTTAATTGAAATCAGATGAAAACAAACTGTAACAGACCCTGCCGTGTTATCTATTTGAGAGCTGTCATCAGCTTTACAAGCTTCAAAAATGTATTTATCGTGTGATTTTGGAAATAAAAGTTTCATATTCCGAAAGCCAAGACTTTGTTTATTTAAAATCAAACAAAACATCCGAATCCCGAAAAACTATTTTTTTATGCAAATCCACGTTTATTTTTTAAATGAGCCGTTGCGACTTCCGACTGATTTCGATAGAGCGGGTTACATATACCAGGGGTCGGCAACCCCTGGTTACGGTGCCGCGTGCCAATGCTGGCACGCGGCACCGTAACCAGTGGCACACTAGGAATAAGTGGAATAAGTGTGCAAAAATATTTAAATTGTATTTTCGTATCCTGAACGAGACCGCCGCCAGAGCGCGTCTCCCCGTTACCTGCAGAAGGAAGCCATGCACGCAACGCAGCCCCGCTCTCTTTATCTCCAGGTGACTTTCTGCCGCTTTCCTCCGTGGTGCAGTGCTGATTGTTTCACCACGGAGGGAAGCACTTCACTAATTGCAGTACCCATAAGGAGCTGTACAAATGCCGCAGTTTTTGCGTGGCTGTGTATTTAGTTGAAA